CAAACACAACGTTTCTACAATACTTCACTAATAGTTATCTTACTCACAATTATATAACAAACACAACGTTTCTACAATACTTCACTAATAGTTATCTTAGTCACAATTATATAACAAACACAACGTTTCTACAATACTTCACTAATAGTTATCTATTAAACCTGTTATATTCTCTATCACGTAAGTTGAATTTTTAGTTTTAATTATATATAGTAGCCTACTTGGGATCTAAAGTTTTTATATTCTCTTTATAAAAAGAATCCTTTTCTTAAGGTTCACCATTTTCGGGTGTTGATTTGGTCCTTGAATTATGTAAATAGTCTTCAGGTATACTAGACCTGTACGAAAATTGCACAATTCCTTCAAATATACCTCTCGGAATTAATTTTTTATTTATTTCGTTTACAAGCTAACCTTCATTCTGAAATTTGGGGTATCCGAATGGTCTTTTTCATACAGTCTCTGACACCCAGACATCTCTAGTCTAAGCAGTGCGTGGACGATGTTTGACTTACATTATAACCGATTGGTGTAGCCATAGAACTGTAATATTATAGTTCTATGGTGTAGCAGATCAATTCCCGTTTCTCAGACCATGGTATGATTGACACCCGAAAATGGCGTAGCATAGACTTTAGACCAAAGAGTTTTTAATAAAATGTCGGCTGAAAAGGAAACTTTCCGAGAGGTCTGATTTTGTTCAGAAATGTGTCTAGTGATGTCCTGTTATTCTGACGGAATTTTATATCTCATAATTTTTTTTTAACAGAAGTCGGTAGACTGTCAACTGCTATGCAAGTAAATCAATGTGCTATTCAGTTATTAACTATATAATTTTATGTATATTACATATATTACACAGAACATACTTGAATGGGCTAATAGAAGTCTATAAAACGGCACCCACGCGCAAGCACAGAATAACATACGATTGACTGGTCATATTCCGAGTCTAACATCTAAATTGCTGAAATAGTTTTACATGCACGTTGCATTGTTATTTTTATGATGTTACATTGTTTATGCAAAATCGTGACGACTACTAACATATGGGTTTTCAACTAGTTGACTTAATTCAACTATATGTAGTTATATATTTTAGAGAATGGCTGCTACAGTAATTTTAAAGAATAGACATTCTCTCCAGGGTTTAAACTTAAACAATCTTATTAAAAATATACGTGATGGAAAACTTCTACCAGTGGAAGAGATGGCAAGCTTTCAAGAGGGTAAGAGCTTGGCTGATTTGTCTATCCAGGTAATTAGATTTATATTAGTTTTTTACCGTCCCATCATTGTGGTTCTAGAATAGCTGTTACTTATTGTCCTTAAAACATCAACTCATAATATTACTAACAGTCTTACATTATCTCGGGTTCATAAAAAATTCAACCTATGAAACAGTTCATTTGAAACAGACGAAACTGTCTTATTGAAATCTGACTGAATTATGGTTTCTAGGTACAATTAAATGGAGAGATGTGTGTTTTATTATCAAAACCCCGAACCCTTAAAATTTAAATATTGTGTGAAATGACAGTTAGAAAAGGAAATTTAAAAACAGTTTGTAGCAGACCTTACCCTAAGTTTTCACCATCTCCAATCAAAACTCCTAACCTCTCCCAGTCCCCTACTACTTACCCCCCACCCCCACTTATTTTGTTTTGGCGTTATTCATCCTAGATATCTTTTTGTAGGAACTTACAACTGCTTTCTCTGACAACTTGCTATCTGAGGAAACATTAGAAGATGTTTTGAAGAAGTCGGGACGTCCTGTTAATCTGTATAATTGTAGACTAGCAATACATGAAGCAATATGTTTCGCTAACGAGTTTGGTCAGCCGGTATGTTTGTTTTTGTTAATATGGAAATGTCTAAATTCGTGACATACATGTAGATTATAATCAGGACATTTAGAAGTAGATGTAATATTAGAATTGTTATTATGTGAATTAAAACGTTGCTCAAATTAAAGGAAGGAGTAGTATATCTATAATAGTGTTTTATGTATAATGCATGGTTTCTGTCGGGATTATTTGTCATAATGCCCGCGGGTTCGGGAGCAAAATTATACATTTGATATTTTATTGTGACTATCAGTTTACCATTGATACTATATATTTTCATTATCAAGTAAACTCTTCTTCAAAACACGAAGAATCGAGAATGATTTGACAATGGCTACAGAAAATTCGCTAAAGAGAGAGATTGTTTTGAAACAGGTGCAACTCCCTCGTTCATAGAATATGTGGAATGTAACAAATAAACAAAGTAGATATCATTAGCTATGTGGACGCTCTTGCAGGGGATCTGAGTGGACAAATCCAATGCCAGAATGGTTAAATACCAATATTTGAGTTAGTTTGAGACAGGATCTTATAATTACATGATTAAATAATTACTGTTTTATTTATTACAGATTAATTTGAAAATATCAACCAGAACATCTTTATTTATTGCCGTAAAGATTAATAATCCCTTGACTGTAAATAATTTGATACAGAGTGGTGTATGTGATATTAACTTACAGGACCATAGAGGTTATACAGCGTTACATTTAGCGACAAGGGATGGTAATGTAGACATTGTAAAGTGTTTGATAGAGTATGATACCTGTAATATCAACTTACAGGACATTCACCGAGATACACCATTACATATAGCGGTAAAGGAGGGTTATGTAGACATTGTAAAGTGTTTGATACATTGTAGTACCTGTGATGTTAAAATACAGAACAGGTACGGTAAAACACCATTACATGCAGCTGTCAGCAGCAGTAAAATAGACATTGTAAGATGTTTAATTGAAAGCAGTGATACCAATATAAAAAATCAGGAGGGGCATTCACAGTTTTCCACTAAGTCTGGTCTACGAACTCTTTATAAAATAGCACAACGTCAGAATGTGGAATTGTTTCATGTTTTAATCCAACATAATGTTGATGTTTTAACTAATCATGTTGATAATCACCTTCAATTAGTTAAATATATTCTGAGTGAAAATGATTTTCAATCTCTATGTTTTTTTATTCAGAATGGTCTCTATATTAATTCTTTAACATCATCAGGTGAAAATATAGTCCATCTTTTAGCTAAATTTTTTCATATGGATTATTTATATATAGATTTTAGTTTTTTGTTTGATTATGAATTAGATTTTAATCTTATAAATAATGACGGTAATTCACCGTTAATGGTGGCCTCACTTTTGAATAATTTTCAATTTGTAGCTACTTTAGCCTGTGACGTCAATAGACAAAACAATCAGGGTCATACAGCACTTCACCTTAGTGTCATCGGATTTACTTTGATAAAAGAAAAATTAAATATGATGAATGTCAATTCAGTAGTGAAAGAGTTATGTTCCCGTGAATACTATCCCAGATATCTTGCATGTATTGATAGTTTACTCAATCTTGGTGCAGACGTCAATATACAAGATAAAGGTGGGAAAACAGTTTTAATGTTGGCTTGTATGAAAAATGATAGAAAATTGTTAGAAACACTATTAATACATGGAGCTGATGTGAATATTGTAGATAACCATGGTCGATCTGCTCTACAATACATAGATTTAACAAACAATGTTTATGATTTAACATGTTTTAATTTACTTCTATCTCATGGTTGTAAACAATCTTTAAATCAGCCATGTCTAAATGGTAACACTATTATTCAAAATGTACTCCGATTCCCATCATTATGGCAAATTGATCAAACAGTCCATTTTATCAAATTTCTTGTTAATAAAAATGTCAACCTGCAACTTTTAACCTCCGCTGATGGAGAAATCTCCTATGGTCAGTTATCTCTGGAGGAATTTTCTTCACAATCTAGGCATGAATTAAGGCAAATCTTGTATTTAAGTGGTGGCTCATTTAAACAAATTACACAAATATTACATTTTGAAGTTGAGGAATCTAAAGCATCATTGTCGGAAACTTTAAGAGAAAAACCGAGCGAAAAGTTCATTCATTTCGCCAACAATCTGAACCTTAAAGAAATTTGTAGAAGAGTTATCAGACAAAATACAAGTCGAGCAATTCATGACCTCATTTCAGAACTTAATTCTATGGTTGGAAAACCATTAACTAGATTTATTCTATTTAAAGATAAAGATTCTAAACGATTTTCACTGCCTGATCAGTTCGAGTCTTTTAATGATATTAGATATTGGTTTCAAGATTTAATTGATGATGATTATGGTGATGCTTATGATTTCTATGATTTAAATAAGGAGAATGATGATTATGAGAATGATTATTTGGTGTTTAATGATTATAAATATCTAAATGAGGTGTCTGCAGGTTTAAAATACTATTATTCAGATTCAGATTCAGATTCAGATTACGTAGATCTAGGTTCATATTTAGATGCAGATTAAGGCCTAGATCTGGGTTTAGATTCAGATTAGATTCGGATTAAGATTCTTATGCTATTTTAGATTCAGATTCTAATATCATTGAGTGTTATAGTCGAAATCCGGGTTTGATAAATCAATTACTTCGGTTACTAGTTTCCATTCTGCTCTAATTAAGATTTCAAGAATCCGATTGGCTAATCCGATTGGCTAATCCGATTGTCAAATCAAATTTAATAATTTACCTATTAAATGACTGGAACACTGAAATTATCCCAAATAACAATTTGTGAAACAGGAACTATGTTCTAGAAAAAAACATGAATAGTCATGACTGTTTATAATCTGTCATATCATTCATATTGTACATTGTAGACCTTTTTTTTATTTTTTTTATTGATTTTACTGATCTGTTATTTTAAAAAAAATGATTGGGGCTTATTTGTAAGGGCTGATTCATCTGGGCTTTATAGATTTAGACCACCGATCTACAAATGATGCCACAATGTAACAACTATAGGATAGTGATAGTAATACATAATTATCTACTAACACTAGGTATTCTATTCCATTATACATCATAGTTATCATTACATCCTATCGTTACATGTTTGTATATATTTATGCTTTGCTTCCAGTGGAATCTTGTCGAAACGTTGTATTTAAGAAATAAAGTGATTGTTATCCATTATATACTTATTTATTGAACATGTATTGTATATAATAAACATGTTATAATAACAGTATTTATTACACAGTGTTATTAACTCACTGAACATGTATTGTATATAATAAACATGTTATAATAACAGTATTTATTACACAGTGTTATTAACTCACTGAACATGTATTGTATATAATAAACATGTTATAATAACAGTATTTATTACACAGTGTTATTAACTCACTGAACATGTATTGTATATGATAATCATGTTATAATAACAGTATTTATTACACAGTGTTATTAACTCACTGAACATGTATTGTATATGATAATCATGTTATAATAACAGTATTTATTACACAGTGTTATTAACTCACTGAACATGTATTGTATATGATAAACATATTATAATAACAGTATTAATTACACAGTGTTATTAACTCACTGAACATGTATTGTATATAATAAACATGTTATAATAACAGTGTTTATTACACAGTGTTATTAACTCATTGAACATGTATTGTATATAATAAACATGTTATAATAACAGTGTTTATTACACAATGTTATTAACTCACTGAACATGTATTGTATATGATAAACATGTTATAATAACAGTATTTATTACACAGTGTTATTAACTCACTGAACATGTATTGTATATGATAATCATGTTATAATAACAGTATTTATTACACAGTGTTATTCACTCACTGAACATGTATTGTATATAATAAACGTGTTATAATAACAGTATTTATTACACAGTGTTATTAACTCACTGAACATGTATTATATATGATAATCATGTTATAATAACAGTATTTATTACACAGTGTTATTAACTCACTGAACATGTATTGTATATGATAAACATGTTATAATAACAGTATTTATTACTCAGTGTTATTAACTCACTGAACATGTATTGTATATGATAAACATGTTATAATAACAGTATTTATTACACAGTGTTATTAACTCACTGAACATGTATTGTATATGATAAACATGTTATAATAACAGTATTAATTATACAGTGTTATTAACTCACTGAACATGTATTGTATATAATAAACATGTTATAATAACAGTATTGATTATACAGTGTTATTAACTCACTGAACATGTATTGTATATGATAAACATGTTATAATAACAGTATTTATTATACAGTGTTATTAACTCACTGAACATGTATTGTATATAATAAACATATTATAATAACAGTATTTATTACTCTACTTACTGAACATGTATTGTATATAATAATCATGTTATAATAACAGTATTTATTACACAGTGTTATTAACTCACTGAACATGTATTGTATATAATAAACATGTTATAATAACAGTATTTATTACACAGTGTTATTAACTCACTGAACATGTATTGTATATGATAAACATGTTATAATAACAGTATTAAACGCCAATGATTTTCAGCTCAGACCCACATAAAGCAAAAGCCATTTCCGCTAAATGATGCACACATCGTAATTTCCGTTATAGACCTTGTCAACAAGACTTTCGAATTTCTAGTTTGAGGTATATTTAAAAGGATTATACGAATCTATAACTTCTGAAGATTGCATAAATATATCAAATATTCAATGTCCAAATAAATATCGTTTGTTGCCCTTCAAGCAAAAAAAGTAAGGGCAAGGGCAAGTTTGTTCAATCAAAGATAGGGACTGCCATCTGTTTACATGTTAAAACACGAAATTCGACCTTCTATAATTTTTTCCAGAAATCTCGTAGAAAACTTCCCAACATGTCGCGCAAACGCTTGGCCACTACTTAGTTTCTGATCAAAAATTCAATATATCATGACCATCAAATTCTTGAGCTAGCCAAACTGAAAGTAGACCACTACATTTTATCAACAACCGTTTGGCACTGTACATAAAACGACTATTTTTAGAATTATTCTTCCGTCTGTTAATCTCTCGTCATATCATAAAATCTGAGTCATGCAAAAACCCCAAAAGGGAGAGAGAAAGAGGACTTCTAAAAATAGCAAGAACTACATACAATCATTTGCATAAAATGTCCATAGCAGATTACAGATATCAAGTCTGTAGTTATTTCCCTTTGATAAAGAAACAATAAAGGCAAATTTTGGGACACAAAGTCATTAAATTGATTAACAGAAGAGGGGTTTCAGAGTACAAGAGGACATGTCAACAAAATTTCCCGACAAAGGAGCCCCAAATCACTCAAGTCCATAGTCCCTTGATCTACAGTGTCTCTATATACTTGGAAATCTTCCAAGAACATGGACATAAGCCTACCTTCACAAGTATTTTAACGTTCAAACGTGAAAGCGCAAGTGGTTTTTGTGTAGAGTTCCATACGAGCTAGATGCCAAGGAGTCTTTCTAGTATAAATCCCTTTATAAGTCGACCCGGTAGATTTATTCAAGGTGGAGAAATTCGTGCCAGTTCGCCATATTTGACTAGGAATTTCACTTTCTATTTCTATATATATGTTATATCTATACATGACATGAGTCGTCATTTTAACTTTTAAATTTGGAAACTGGACACACATAGATTTGAAGGCTAAAATTTCGACGGTGAGTTGAGCTAAAAGAAATCACGTCAAACGGATGTCCAAAATAAAACAACAATTTCACTAGAAACTTTATTACAACTGTGATATGAATAACCTGTTTTTCACAAACCCTTTTCGACCATAAAATACATAAACAGACAAAACTTGTAATTTTTTATCAACTAGAAACTATGAACTATTTCTAATAACAACAAAGACTAATGAAGACCAGTTACAATGGTTGCATCGTCTCGACTCACAATCCTGAATTTACTAGCCACCGTGGTGTAGTTGGCACTGAATAAAGTACAAGTAAAATGGTGAGATATTGTCAAACATTCTGTGTTATCTTTACATTTCTTTATACATTCGGAAAGAGTCGTTACCAAATTTGGATTTGTGTACAGGATCGGTTTTGGATAGAAAACACAGTTTCCGACAATTTGTAGAGTAAAACCACACTTGGTATCGTCAGTACACAACTCATGACAATTGGCTGGAAAACCACCATATGTAAAAAATTCAACATAAGTTTCATTCGTTATCTCACCTGAAAAAATAATCGTGCTTCTATGGAGTACAAGATAGTTGAAACAGTTACACAGCATCAAACTTTGTTTAATACCTTGACTGCAATAGCCAACTTTCTTGTCTCACAGAATGCAGTGGTTTGATTGGATTGTACGCAAGCGAATGAAGTCAATCAGAGCTGAGACCTCGACAGAAACACTGTAAACATTATGGCTCATTATTAACCGACCTTTTATTAGGACTCTGATTAGCTGTAATTCGCGAACGAAATAGCTTCAATTACAAAATTCCGTAAACTTGATTTACAAACAGGGGTGGCTATTGCAGTCAAGGTATAAGACGAAGTACGTTATGGCTTAACATTATGAAGCAGATGGTTGCTTAGTTGCTATAACGTAACCATTATTACAGACTATAAAAGATTCAGAATGAGTTTTCTATACTTTCGATGTCACATACAGCGTCTATCTGAATCATTTCTCCCGACTGATTTCTGTAGTTCAAGAAAAACTTAATATGTCATTAGATTTACAATAGTGACACCATGCTTCTTTTTAAACACGAATACCTTATGTTTTAGAATAAAAATTCAAACTCGACTGTAATCACCCATAGAGTCAATCTCCGTATTTGTATCCCCTGTCTCCGAAGGTTGGCGACACCACCAATTCCTTTATAAATACGATTACTTTAAGTTTAGGCACACCACATACTATTGGATAAGATTCAGCTATACGTTTGTCTTTACAACTACACTGTTACACAACAAAAAATTGATCACATACTTTGACAAGCTATCTGTTCTGTCCAAGTACCATTTTCACCACACTTCAGAGTACCAGTTCCACCATTCCTGGTGTAGCCAGCTTTACAGTTATAACTAAAATCTTCACCAAATATTCTTGATTCTGTTACATCATCAGAGTTAGTGATATTCACACCTTGTGGACACTCTACAGCTGGTAATAAAATAAATTTATAAGATAATGACTTGAGATTTTGTTAAAATGGGTTAAAATTTTTCATATACGGACAAGATCAAGGGTTTTCAACCTTTATCTTTCCAATACCCCTTTCAGCATCCTTAATCGATCGCATTACCTCCCTTATCCCTATAAAGTCTTACAATTTCGCAATTTTAAAAACTGTTACCTTGACAATCTTGTTGTTCTGTCCACATATCATTTTCACCACACCTCAGAATACCCGTCTTACCATTCTTAGTGTAGCCAACAGAACAGTTAAAACTAAAATCTTCACTAAATATTCTAGATTCTGTTACATCATCAGAGTTAGTGATATTCACACCTTGTGGACACTCTACAGCTAATAGAAAAATAAATTTATGAGATAATGACTTGAGATTTTGATATGGAGTACATTTTTTCAACCTTTTTCTTTCCAATACCCCTTTCAGAATTCTCAATCGATCGCATTACCTCCCTTATCTCCATAGATTTAAGTTAAAAACTGTTACCTTGACAAGCTTGTTGTTCTGTCCAAGTACCATTTACACCACACCTCAGAGTACCAACTCCACCATTCTTAGTGTAGCCAGTTTTACAGTCATAACTAAAATCTTCACCAAATATTCTTGATTCTGTTACATCACCAGAGTTAGTGATTTTCACACCTTGTGGACACTCTACAGCTAATACTAAAATACATTTAAGAGACAATGACTTGGGATTTTGAGCTAACAGCTAACAGTGAAACAAAAATATCATTAGATATCTATTTCATTTTAATTCGTATAAGAAATACTTTTCTACTTCAATTCAATATTATTTATAAATTAGATACCAATGTAGACTTTACTTCCGAACGAAATACCCTGTCCGCAAAATCTACAATGTATAGAGCCTGTGTGGAAACTGATTCTTACCTTGACAAGCTGGTTCCAAAATCCAGACTCCGTTTTTACAAGTTGTTTGAACTTGTGATACATATCCTCTTTTGCACTTGAATCGTTTATTGTCTTCACAGCTATCTCTTGGAATCCACATCGTATTTATTGGTAGATTATACTTATCACAATTTACAACAAAATAATATAGATGTATAAAATTATATTTATTCTTCATCTATCTTACAAACATAGTGATAGGACAAACTTGTAATTTTAAATTCAGCTAAATCCTAGTGTGTAGTGGGGATATGGGTAAGGTTAAACGCGCAAGATATTTGAGATTAAAAAAGTTAAAAAAAATACAAAAGAAAAATTTTTCCCCCAAATATCCACTATAGTTACTCAATTTTGAAGCTGTTGCTGCTACACTTACTTAATTTTTCCCAAAACGTTTTCGCCATGTAGGGGTAACGTTTAGGACTCGCCACTGGTAATGTTCCGACCCACAGCAAGACCACCATCAACATCAAATTAGCATTGACCATCATATTGATTCGATAATCGAGTTTTATGATCAGTGAAAATTGTGTGAGTTTATATAGAAACAGAGAAGGCGTGGTATGATTCACTACATCGATTGAGAAACAGAGAACATGTTGTGTAGATATGTGTAATGAATTTCATCCTGGTATATTTCCTGTCATTTGGTGGTAACGTTTAAACGTTTTGAAATCATGTTGTTCTTACATGGCACGTAGCTAAGAAATCTTTTGAACAATAATGCTAACAGATCGTATTCAGTACGATTTACAGCTGGGTCAACTGGAATAATGCTAACATATGACTTATTCAGCACTATTTTACAGCCAGGTCGACTGAAATAATGATGAAAGATGATTTATTCAGTACTATTTTACAGCTGGGTGAACTGGAGTAATGATAACAGATGACTTATTCAGTACGATCTACAGCTGGGTGAACTGGAATAATGATAACAGATGACTTATTCAGTACTATTTTACAGCTGGGTGAACTGGAGTAATGCTAACAGATGACTTATTCAGTACGATTTAAAGCTGGGTCGACTGGAATAATGATAAAAGATGACTTATTCAGTACTATTTACCGTTCTGATAACCAAATAAAAAATGGATCACCAATATAGATGAGAGAAGGCGTCTGCCACCCATCACAGATGAGCTTAAAATGATTTTAAATTTTTCTTTAATTAGGCATCATAGCTTTAACATGTTTCTACATGTAAATTGCTAATACAATTTCAGATTTGTAATCGAAATGCTTCTCATTGATCATTAAAAGACTATCGTAGCGTTTTTAAAGAGTTATCTCCCATGTACTAGGTCATTTCTTTTGGGAAAAAAACTATCGGAGGGCAACCGGTTGTTTTTGTTTAAGAAGTATTATATAAGATAAAAACTGAAGAAACAAAGAGTATTTAGGCTTTTGAAATGAAATAGGGTTTTGCTGTTGTGTATTTACATGTATTTGGGCTTATGAAATGAAATAGAGTTTTACTGTTCTGTTTTTACATGTATTTGGGCTTATGAAATGAAATAGAGTTTTACTGTTCTGTATTTACATGTATTTGAGCTAATGAAATGAAATAGAGTTTTACTGTTCTGTATGTACATGTATTTGAGCTAATGAAATGAAATAGAGTTTTATAGTTATTTATTTACATGTATATGGGTTGATGAAATGAAATAGAGTTTTACTGTTCTGTGTTTACATGTATTTTGGGATTATCAAATGTTAAACCTTCTATACCCTTTCTAAAAATTTGGCTGAAAACTCCAATATGAAAGCCTGGTCACAACTTCTTGTTTCATCAACAATTCAATATATCAATACTATATTATAATATAGTTAAAATAGATAAATAACACCGTTAAAGATAGTTAATATTTAGTTTGAATTACAACACGTTGGCAGTAAATATAAACTGAACCCATATCGTCGAAACTGTCTTAGCTAGGACCGATCCTAGGGACTTGTGACAGGTATTAAGACATTACAAATTGATGATACTTCCTATTCCCCAAACGATCCTTCAGGTTTCACAACTTAACCATTTTGTTTTAACTTAGGACAGGCCACTCTTCACCTTACATAACCCTAAAGAACTCACTAAATGAAAAAAAAAGCTTCAAGAAGAAATTGGCGCGGCGACAGGGAAAAAATTCATACTCAACAGGAATGAAACAAAGACAGCAGTATATAGTCTGAAATCTCTCTTGCCCTCGACAACAATACAATTTATCTTTCAGCAGTAACGACGGGGGGAAATATTGTTCATTGTAGCTGTTTGTGTAGTCCAAAACATCTGTCTCTATTCCAGCCTCTGATAGCTTAAAAGTGGGGGATGCTGTAGGATTGGTAATAGATGTTGTTAGACTGGTAGATGGCGATGGTGCCGGACTGCTGACAGGGAATGTTATAGGGTTGGTAGTAGATGTTGTTGGACTCGTAGATAGAGATGACTGGTATGAGTCAAAACATAAAAGTTGTGTGTTACAGTGTAATGGACTTCTGAAGGTTCTTACTAAATATGGATTACTTTTTCATACCGCAAATAACTTGAGACATTATATGAATAATTGGAAATATACAAGTAGGTCCGACAAGTGTTTCTACATGTGAATGACTGGTCGGTTTTGTAACCGGAGTGCTACTCAACGTCTGGAACGAGTTATCTCCCATACACTATGTCTTTTTAACAAAACTATCGGAGGGCAACCGGTTATCATGGCTTAGTAGTGTAATATAAGATGAAGAGTTTTACTGTTCTGTATTTACATGTATTTGAGCTAATGAAATGAAATAGAGTTTTACTGTTCTGTATTTACATGTATTTGAGCTAATGAAATGAATTAGACTTTTACTGTTCTGTATTTACATGTATTTGGGCTAATGAAATGAAATAGAGTTTTACTGTTCTGTATTTACATGTATTTGAGCTAATGAAATGAAATAGAGTTTTACTGTTCTGTATTTACATGTATTTGAGCTAATGAAATGAAATAGAGTTTTACTGTTCTGTATTTACATGTATTTGAGCTAATGAAATGAAATAGAGTTTTACTGTTCTGTATTTACATGTATTTGAGCTAATGAAATGAAATAGAGTTTTACTGTTCTGTATTTACATGTATTTGAGCTAATGAAATGAAATAGAGTTTTACTGTTCTGTATTTACATGTATTTGAGCTAATGAAATGAAATAGAGTTTTACTGTTCTGTATTTACACGTATTTGGGCTAATGAAATAAAATAGAGTTTTACTGTTCTGTATTTACATGTATTTGAGCTAATGAAATGAAATAGAGTTTTACTGTTCTGTATATTCATGTATTTGAGCTAATGAAATGAAATAGAGTTTTACTGTTCTGTATTTACATGTATTTGAGCTAATGAAATGAAATAGAGTTTTACTGTTCTGTATTTACATGTATTTGAGCTAATGAAATGAAATAGAGTTTTACTGTTCTGTATTAACACGTATTTGGGCTAATGAAATAAAATAGAGTTTTACTGTTCTGTATTTACATGTATTTGAGCTAATGAAATGAAATAGTGTTTTACTGTTCTGTATTTACATGTATTTGAGCTAATGAAATGACTTTGTTGACGTCATACGTCACGTTAAAATAACGTTATAGATGAATTACTTTCACACCTTTTAGAAATTTCTCTAGATATCTTATAAAAGATTGTCTACAGACCTTATATTCATAGAAGATTACTTTCACACATATGATTAGAAGACAAAGTAGTTTGCATTACATACAGATAAGGTTGAATTTCTTTAACTTAATTATTATTAATTATTGTTATTTTATCAATAACCTGCGCTCTCATTCAAGGCCATGCCTTCATTTATATTATTTAGTTTATATACATATATATATCCAAAAGTAGAAATAGAAATATAAACAGTTGTACAGGAAACGACTATTTTCATTCTTCATCTTAATCTAATAATATTTATCAATAATCCTAATTTCTGACGTCAAAATACAAATCTGGGCCACAATTGAAGCACTAAAACTAAAAAAGGATAAAGGGTGGCAAAAGATTTAAGAAAAGTTATTTGATGACAAGAGAATATCTTTAGCTTTGTGGAAACAAAATAAAAACGCAAAATCAAACTAATTTAACTAATCTTCAAGGCTGAAAAGTATATAATAGCCATCTGAGATTTATTATCGTTTACCTCTAAACTGAAATAAAATAAAAATCTCGCTAATTTAACTTCAAGATTGAAAAGTAAATATTTTGTTTTAGACATTGTGTCAAGATTTATATTTTGACATCTGAATCGAGATTTGTTTAAACCAGATTAAAATAATCCAGATTAAATTGTTCACATTGGTTTATCCTGATTATATACACTGTAGTAGGGGCTCTCAATTCTACTTATTTTGCCTGGACCTACTCATAGAGGCCAACAACTATACCTAGTCTGTGATATCAGCATCCACTGGAAGCGAACGTTAACTCGTCATCTACCAACAACTACCTAGTTTGCGATAACAGCATTCGCTGGAAGCGAACGTTAACTCGTCATCTACCAACAACTACCTAGTCTGTGATATCACCATCCACTGGAGGCGAACGTTAACTTGTCATCTACCAACAACTACCTAGTCTGTGATATCAGCATCCGCTGGAAGCGAACGTTAGCTTGTCATCTACCAACAACTACCTAGTCTGTGATATCAGCATCCGCTGGAAGCGAACGTTAACTTGTCATCTACCAACAACTATCCAGTTTGCGATATCGGCATCCACTGGAAGCGAACCTTAACTTGTCATCTACCAACAACTACCTAGTCTGTGATATCACCATCCACTGGAGGCGAACGTTAACTTGTCATCTACCAACAACTACCTTGTCTGTGATATTAGCATTTGCTGGAAGCGAACGTTAACTTGTCATCTACCAGCAACTACCTTGTCTGTGATATCAGCATCCACTGGAAGCGAACCTTAACTTGTCATCTACCAACAACTACCTAGTCTGTGATATCACCATCCACTGGAGGCGAACGTTAACTTGTCATCTACCAACAACTACCTTGTCTGTGATATTAGCATTTGCTGGAAGCGAACGTTAACTTGTCATCTACCAGCAAC